TAGCCATCATCACAGTGACAATGCTTGAGGTTGTTGCAGACCCCTCTGCCATGACACATGGCCTCTGGCTCGCAGTCATACTGCAGCACCTGCACGTCAGAGCATGTGCGGTTGAGACAGATCTTCTGGGGGCCACACGAGGTGCCTGCCTTCACGGCCCCTCCGTCAGGGAGATCCACATCCTCAAAGAGGTCCACCCCCCAGCACCACGTGTCTTCCAGGGGGATCTGGATGAGAGTGTGGTGGTTCCTCGTTTGGGGCAACCTCAGGATGTCCTCACACAGCAGCTTCCCACACATGACATCCTCGGGCTCACACTTGACAAACGCCTTGTGTAGCCCTTTCTGGCCACTGCCACAGTTCCCAAACCTGTCCCCCTGGCTGTTCAGATGGTGGTAACAGCTCTGCCGGGCACCTCTGGAGCCCTCGCCAAACACCTCCACACAGTGGCTCTGAAGGCTCCTACACCGCCCCCGGTAGCAGTGACCTCCGCCACTGCACGGGGTGCCATCTTGCTTGTAGGTGTCAGGCTGGCACCACATGGAGCTGCCGTTACAGTATTCGGGGAGGTCACACTCATCCACGCTGGGACGACAGGGCGTGGCTGACTTCAGAAACTTGCACTCTCTGCAGCATGCTCCAAAACCACAGTCTGAGCCCTGCCTCATCTGGCACGAGGGCAGGCAGCACGGGTCCTTCACACACTCATGGGGGCTGCCACAGTCACACTCTTCCCCTCCGTCTACTACGTGGTCCCCGCAGAAGGGCTTCCCCACCCGGCCCCTGGGCACCGGCTCGTCATACAGGCAGGACCCTTTGTGCTGGCGCAGGAATTCGTAGAAATCCTCGAAGCTACAGTTGCTGAAACTACTCTCAGAGTTGACAGTTCCAAGCATGATGCAGGAGGGCTGGTCAGGACACACGCAAGACGGGTGGTCGTGCCTCATGCCAAGGTTATGGCCCAGCTCGTGGACCATGAGCATTGCAAAGACAGTAGCATCTTCATGACAGAAAGATTCGACTCCTGCTGAAAGCTCAGACACACAGGCCCCATTGAGAAATGCTTCCCCCGTGTACTCTCCTGGATCGTAGCCTACTATGAGATGGGCAACATCGTGCTTTGCCCGACTGACCAGCTCCTCTCCTCTCCAGTGGTTGAAATTCTGCAGCACTTCCCGCAGGTCCCCAGAAATCCCCACCTGGTCCCTCTCCGTCCAGATCTCCAAACCTACCAGGACCACCTGGACGTGGATTGCCTGGCTGTAGGTGTTAACGTGGGCAAGGGCGTCCATCACCATCTGCACTGTCTTGGTCACGTTGCTATTCCACATTTGGAACCGCCTGTTGTCAACCACGACAAACATCTCCACGTACTTGGTGTGGGACCAGAT